CCCCGGACCTTCCGCTCTCCGGGCGGACGCTCTACCACTAGACCACGGAGGCGGTCCCTTTCTTAATGTTAATGTTGTATAAGTAAATAACTGCCACTTATGAGACATGTTCAAATGGCTGCCAACTACCCTTTCTTCTTTATTATTCTTGTGTTTAGGTCTTCTGGCGGCATAATTAAATCCATGTGATAGAAAAAGGTCGAATTTTCGAACTTATAGAAATATCATCTTAGCATCAGCACCTCGTTGACGTAAGAAAAGGTTTTTAGCATACGCATTAACTGCTAATATCTGCATATCGAAAGAAACGTAGCTTGGGTCAAATTCTCAAATATTAGACAAACACGCTTCATGAAAATGAAAGAGGTAAAACTCCTTCCATAATAATACGAAATCTCTGCCAAAAGCAGAGTCTTTGGAACGATTCTGACTTATCATGAGCATGTGTTTATGAATCACTATCTAATAGTGATGATATTACGTGTTCGCGAAAAGGTGAGCATATCCTGGCCAACCAGTTGTATCCGTCATAAACACACGCAAAGAAGTAAAATGTTCACCTGAAACGAAAAAAAAGACATGGGAAAATTTGTTTAAAGGTTAAAACAGGTAATTGCATCACTGGAGCGTCACATTTTGAAATGTCCTCCACGTGTCTAAGATAAAACCTTTTAAAAGTCTTTACTGTGGCCCTGATTGATATAACCCTGATTAAAAAACTCTTGAGCAAGAGTCGTAATAGGGTATTGCATCGGACCTAATTTTTTTGTCACCGATGCGTCAAATTTGGAAATGTCCTCCACGTGTCTGCCATGAAACCTTTTGAAAGCTTTACTGAGGTCTTGAATGTTTTAACCTTGATCAAACAACTTCTGAGCAAGAGTCGTACGTCGCTCTTTGAAATCTTTATAGTAGGGTTGGGACATGTAAGTCGGGAACCCGGGTCTGGTGGGTACTGAGTAGGACCCGGGTACCCAAAAGGAATACCCGGACCCGTGGTTAGTCACGTGATATGTTGTCTAATGACTAAAATTATCTGGAACTCCATGGTTACACTACATGTAATTAATGTTCGCTTTTCTTCTGACTATGCACCCATTCATTCTGATTTGTCATATGGATGTATAAAGATATATCTTAAGTCATCTTCAGTGTATGCATGACCAGATTGTTTAATACATGTATCTAAACACGTTTTGCCAGGGCTATGCTAAAAAAGTTCCCAATCGGACATTTTGAGACATCTCCTGAGACCTAGAGTGGGTACCCGGGTAGGGTGGGGTAATAGGGGGGCGGGTACCCAGGTAGTAAATTTGGACTCGTCCCAGCCCTACTTTATAGAAAGAGCATGCTCGATTGTACCTCAAAAGTTGTGAAATGTAGACACCATTGCTGGAGCTTCTGGGCTATTGCTCAGCATAAAGGGAAGTTGACTATTGGAAAGATGAAGTCATCCTTCTTTTTTTTGGACACTCTAAATTAATTATGAAACAAATGAGGCGGTTTCACTGACATCATCAGCCCTGTGCAGCGAACCCATGCTAGCCGTGGAAGGTGACAATGCTTGGCGTAAGAGGCGACTAACGGGATCGGGTGGTCAGGCTCGCTGATTGGGTTGATGCATGTCATCGTATCCCAGATGCGTGGATCGATGCTCATGACATCAATCACTGGATTGTCTTGTCCAGACTCGATTATTTAAAGACCGCCGTCATTTAGCTGGAATATTACTGAATGTGGCGTTAAACCACAAACAAAAACGTACATGTACTTCTATCGCATGTGGGTAAATCCGTAGAAGGGAGTTGGCTGTTTGACCCTTATTGAGGTGAGGTGAGGTGAGGTGAGGTGAGGTGAAATGGGGTTTAACGTCGCGTCCAAGATTATTGCACTTATATAGCGACGTGCATGCACGTGCGTGTGTGTGTGGCTGCTTGTACTAGTCCGGACTGATACCGATTTATAGTGCTAGCTCACTGAGATAGGACCTTCCGCTCTCCGGGCGGACGCTCTACCGCTGGACCACGGAGCCGGTCTGACCCTTATTGGACACATCAGATCATTGATATACCTGAAGCTTAAGTTTGCCAAATTCCTTGTTTTGTGAAGACATTCTGACTCGTATGCACAAAGAAACAGATCAGGAAGGAGGGGGGCACATTTAGTGCCCATGGGGATGCCAACTTCTTGCCCAATTAGCCTATTCACAGATTTCACATACATGTTCCCGATGAGAAAGTCCAGCATTTCACATATTGTTTTCTCAGTTAATTGCAGATGGAATTTGCTTTCATTCTTGACACATTTACTGAATCTTTGAAGATGTAACTTTATCTATGGTCACCTGTGATAAGGGAGAAGTGTTTGCTTGTTTATTCAACTGTGACTAAATATTGCATATTTACCGAAATCCCTTCAATATGATTTACCTTCAAATACAAACAGCCGACGTACGAAACAGTTTTTTTTTTTTTTTTAGTGGTTGATAACCGAGGACAAACGTGAATCCAGACAATTATACCCTGGACGTTATGTTATACCGAGGTTCAGCTGTTGCCAGTGTTCTTCTGTCGTGGTCTATACATCGAGCAAGCTGGTATATGCGGTCCAGTTGTTAAAGGGGGACTACACTCGGGGAAATGATCAGGCCCAGCAAGTTTGATTCAACTTGTTCTCACCTCCTTGTCTGCTTACTAAATATTTATGATGTATTAAAGTCAAGCAGTGAATGATCGCCTCGATTAGCCAGAAACAATGTCTGAGTATCGCGCATGACACATTAGCACGTGATCTGTTGCCTCTTATATGTGAAACACCGCCTTTATGTCGATCACTGGGAAACATAATTAAAGGCACAGTATAGAGTAGCCATGTTTCGTTCATCCGGACATTTGTCATGCCGGACGCTTTTATTTATAACACTACGGTCCAGATAATCAAAGTTTCACTACATGTGTAGGTTTTGAATGTATTCCATATCATTTTGACTAAAATATGTTTAAATCAATAGTATTTATTAAACTTATATCCACCAAGAGGCGAGGTGGGGAAGATCAAACGTCATCAAAAGGAACGTCAACCTTTAATCTTCAGTCACTTAGTATAAGCCATAAATTTTTGCAAACATTTTCATTTTGACTTTAGCTTTAGAAAATGACGCCGAACATATCGAATGTAGGTAACATTCCGTACGCAGACCAAGACTAAAGTTCCTGTTAAAGCTGGTATGCTGCAATTAACCTTTGACCCGTTATAGAGATATTTACATTATCTCGATACAACAAAGAAATTGAGGTTTGTAAATTAAATGGCCATGCAAAAATCGAATTTTCTTGAGATAAATTATGTTTTGATTGTAAAGATATAAGATGATAGATTGAAGTAATAAAGGGGTACACCCGGTACGTCCTGCCTATGATTTATCAACACAGGTCTGTTACAGAGGTGTCGATAAAGAGCAGAACTACCTGCATCGTGTTTGGCGTAGCGTCCGCGTCAGAAAACCAGTGGCTAACAATACGCAGCTTGCAAGAGTGAGTGAGTGAGTTGTGTTGTGATGCCAACTTCTTGCCCAATTAGCCTATTCACAGATTTCACATACATGTTACCGATGAGTGAGTGAGTGAGTGAGTGAGTTGGGTTTAACGTCGCTTTTAACAGTATTCCAGTTATATCGCGGCGTGTCGGCTTAATGTGGGAGGAAAGCCCGAAGTGATGCAGGTCTCAGACGTTTACCACTTCGGTGAAACCCACGAGCACGGGTATGGTGCTGACAAACCTAGAAACATAATCGGGGCGAACCGGGATTCGAACCCAGAATCAAAGGTTTCTGGCGTGCCCAAGGGACGCAACTCTGCACAGCGAATCGCGGCGCTTTAGACGACTGGGCCACCCGAGCCCCCTCCGCGTCAGAAAACCAGGTGCTGACAATACGCAGCTTGCAAGAACACGAACGTACAATACGTACACGTAAGAAGCACGTATCTAAGAATTGGAAAAGGGGCGGCTGGATAGCCTGGTGGTTAAAGCGTTTACTCGTCACGCCGAACACCCGGTTCTATTCCTCTCACGCGTGATGACCAATATTATGATATCGCTGGAATATCGCTAAATTCGGAGTAAAATCTAACTCACTCACTCTTTACGGCGGTTCAAAAGAATACCTGTAAATATATCATTATCATTGGAAAATCAAAGCAGATAAATATGAATGGTTCATTTCTTGTATTGTTCTTTGTCTGAGATTCTTGACGGTTACCATTTATTTAGAATCATTTCTTGATGCGCTGTATCATGGAGAGAGAGAGAGAGAGAGAGAGAGAGAGAGAGAGAGAGGAGAGAGAAAGAGAGAGAGAGAGAGAGAGAGAGAGAGAGAGAGAGAGAGAGAGGGGGGGGGGTCTTCGTTGAGTTGGGAGGACAGTCCATAATCATATCTTAGTTCTCGCTATCGCTAAACAAAGCTTAGCGGCAGCGAGAACTTAGATCTGATCTTAATGAGATTGGAGGACAGTCACGACAACCACTAAGCTACATGGATTTATAAGATCGAAATGTAAAAACCTCACAAACTCAAAACTTTCAAACTTTTCAAAGATCATAAACCTCATCAAATCGAACTATGAATCTTGAATTATTTCATTTGCTGATGTCCCTTCTAGGTGTCAGTTTACACATATTATACAATACAAACCGTGTACAAGATAGTTTTATTAATCACTGGATTGTCTGGCCCAGACTTTATTATTTACAGACCGCCGTCATATAGCTGGAATATTGCTGAGTGCGGCGTAAAACAACCAACCAACCAACCACAAGATAATTGTATAGTGGGAACACTTCCGTGGTCCCTTGGTGGTATAAGTAGCCACACCTACAAACATACACATTGATACAGGATTGACCGAGAGAAACAGTTCTTTATCTGCTAAGCTGTCGATGCGATTGGAGAAATCACCAAGAGGACTAATTTGAATGGCACAGACTCGGGTCTGCCAACGTTTACACGTACAAAGGAGATTGAAGGGCTCTGTTGATCTGCGTGTTGATAGACAGCATCGACATGTGACAGTATAGGTCTTGGTTGCGTTTGTTGGAGGATTTATAACCTACTTGTTTTTGCCACTTGTCGATTTCAGTCCGAATGAAATTGACACATGCGTCATTGTTGTGGAGTGAAGTAGATGGACTAGACGTGGTGTGAACTTCTTTTCGAGCTATGAAAGTGACACTACCACTTATTTCTATAGGTAAGTGGGAGAATTGGGTTTATTGACGACTTGAAAATATCTTACTTATGTGGGATACTTCTATGTGTCTATAGTTTTTATATTACGCTTAATTAAGGTATTTTTTATCACTTTTAACAATTGTTTTTTAAGTTTTCACTTTTATACTTTTAGTATATATTAAATAGTATTTGTTTATATTGATTAAGTGGACATTTCCATAATTGTGACCATCATGCAATGACAACATTGGTAGAAGTCAATGATTTCAAACTATTTTCATAAATATGAATATATGTTTGTATTTACATACATAAGCTCACATGAGTGTTTTACCTTGAGTGTCCATTATTTGATGAGTTTCTGTGAAACTGCGGGATAATGTAACATAATTATGTTTTAATTATGTATCTTTATATAATTGGTAAATTGTTTTTAATAAAGATAAATGGAAATATTAGGGCCTTGAACGCCCACACAAATAAACATTGGATAATTTTCACCTTCAATTAATTTTCAAATATACACATGGAAAAGAGGTAAGCACCACTTTGTAATATTTCCATACAATTAAAAAATATATATGACGTACCCTGTATTAATTCCTTTTACGATAAATATTGTTTTTGTTTATAAGTAATATTCTTACTTTGAAATGCAGAAGACGGAACTATAATGATTTGTCTGGTCCATTGCATCCTCTCATTCTTTTCATCATATGATGTGATGCAGTACTCGAGAATCGCGACAGACATACCTTCACAGGGAGTTAGCGCTGTCCATGCCAAACCGAGAATGAATGCAAGTGCCATTTTCTCGATGGACAGTAAAAAGATGTGACTACACCCGAGCATAGGAAGCTTTTAATTAATATTTTGAACCAGATCTAACATATAGAATTCACCGAACATTATTGTATATTAATACTATAACGATAATGGTTCGGAAAGGCATATGGGGTTCAAAAATAATAAATTTCACTGTCACAACACTTGTTTAACATGACTTTAAAATCTCGGAAAGCACATTCAAAACCAACTTTATACCGAATATGTTCGCCTTGTGCATTAATCACGCCTGAACACGATGACGTTAAACGTCGGATGACGTTAAATGTCGGATGACGTTGGGGGTACTCCGCTGCCTTTCCTCAAGGAGACATTGTTCCAGTTCTTGGCGGCTGGCTGGTGCCGCTGTTCGTCTTCTGATCTGTCGGTCCAGGTGATCCCATAAATGTTTGATTGGTTCATATCAGGAGAACACCCCGGTCAGGCCAATTCAGAAATGTCTGTGTGAGCCTTGCCGTATGCGGTCTCGCTTGTCTTGCTGGAAGACAATGCCACGTGGCTGTCGCTGAATGAATGGTTGGACAACGGGTCTCAGAACTTCATCCCGACATCTCTGGGTATTCGGGTTTCCTTGAATAATAACGAGCCTCGTTTTGACATCACCGCAGATACTTCCCAAGACCATGACGCTACCGCCTCAAAAAAGTTGAACTTGTTGAACTTGTTCTTATCGGAGAACATGACCGTCCCCACTCTCGAACTTGCAAGCTTAAAACTCGCCTCGCCCATGTGAACCTGTTCGTCGGTGTTGACGTTTTAACGTCACTCCGCGGTATCGTCGACGTGCTCTGATACCACATTCTCTTCATCTCATATACATTGTCTGTCGACTGACCCTGTGTCCCAGTGCTGTCGCTGCTGTTACCGTCGCTGTATGTAAGCGGTTTCTAATATGAATGGACCAGATGTGGCGGTCTTCAATGGGCGTGGTCACCCGTGGTCTCCCGCTTTTACGCCTGTCGGATGTCTGCCCTGTCTGTTGTAACGTTGCATCAATCTGGTAGTGGTGACACGGCTGCATCTAAACGTTCTTGCAAAGGCGGCGCACACCAACGGCCCTATCCTCTCTATAGCGGTTTAATGTGGTATATCCTTTGGTTGATGTGTTCTGAACGTTTTATACAGTACTTTTGCACGTGCATTTCGTTGCCCTAAGTCGTTTTGGCAAAGTGCACGATTTTCACAAAAAATATCAATTTTGATCTGTTTTTTATTTCACAGAAAATATTTGGTTGTCTTCGTGCAACATATTTAAGTCTTAATTTATATTGATTTTGTTTAAAGTTAATAAAATTGTGGAAAAATTTAAAGTTGGTATACCTTTGGTGATATTCTACTCTGAGTCACGGAGTCTCCATTCCCAGGCTTTATGGTAAATGCTCATCTTGATAAATGATCACGTTTGAAGGATTTGTACCTTATACTTGAATGTCCCACGACAGGGAGCTCTTATTGAGAATATTATTTTGAGCTATAAATAACAACTAATGATAAATGTTTTATTACATTTCCAGTGATAACATGGTAGAAATTGTTTTCCTAAAACAGTGGATCGTGGATATAGTAAGACGTGAAGGGAATATTTCTTGAATATTGAGTGAGTGAGTGAGTATGGTTTTACGCCGCTTTTAGCAATATTCCAGCAATATCACGGCAATATCAGAAATGGGCTTCACACAATGTACCCATGTCGGGAATCGAACCCGGGTCTCCGGCGTGACGAGCGAACGCTTTAACCACTAGGCTACCCGACCGCCCCTCTTGAATATTGAGTCGGGCACGGACAGTCAGTGGCAGAAAATAAACTGTGAGCGGGTGCTCTTTCCTGACTAAAGCTGAGTCCAGCTTTTCAGTCCTGATGGCGGAGTTTGTATTCGTGGTCGACGGCTTGAGCGAGCCTCACGTGGATGCATTCTTGAGGTTGTACCATTCGGCGGTGGTGGCGTCATGGATTGGGGTGGTATCTGTGGACAGCAGAAAACGGATCTCGTAGTTTTCAACGCCAATGCCACGACACAACGCTATTTGATGAGGTAATTCTCCCAGTTGTTCTCCTATATCTGCAACAAAACCCTTGGACCATATTCCAGCAAGACAACGCCCGACCTCACACAGCGCGAATCACCAAGACCTTTCTCAATACCAACAATGCGAAAGTTTTGCCATGGTCAGCCCGATACCCTGGCATGTCGCCAATTCAATATGTGTGGGATCATTGGGACGTAAAATTAGAGCATGACAGGTTCCTATGATGAGTTATTGCAAAAGCTAGTAGATAAAAAGCGACAAAACCCTTTCCACATTCATATGTGAGGTGGGTGAGGTGAAATGGGGTTTAACGTCGCGATTATTGCACTTATATAGCGACGTGCATCAGAGACCATATAATAGATATATATTATATGGTCTCTGCGTGCATGCACGTGTTTGTGTGTGTGGCTGCTTGTAATAGACCGGACTGATGCCGATTTATAGTGCTAGCTCACGGACATACCATGCCACAGTTTAACATGAATACCCCACTCAGACACAGAATACTGACTCCGAGCCTAGTCTGTCTTACAGACCCTGATACAAATATATATCAAATACAGCCCATGCAAGTCTATAATGTTTGGCATGTCTAGATCACTGCAGTATCTGAAAATGAAGAGAGTCACTGGGCTCCTTATTATTATATTTTTATTAAGATAACTGAACAACTGTTTTTTTATGTACATGTTCATTTCAGAGACTAGATGTTAGTCTAACTCCGAGCCGACCAGTCCTTGTTTTAGCCCCTTATTGCCGAGCGCCAGACAGGGTAACAAGTACCATCTTTTAAAGTCTTTTGGTATGACGCGGCCGGGGATCGAACTCCGGGCCTTCTGCTCTCCGGGCGGACGCTCTATACCACGAGACCACGGAGGCGGTCTTTCCACATTCTTAAGAAATATCTGCCAAACACAGAGTCGATTGTGCGTTTCCGACAATATCATGAGTATGTGTTTATGAATCACTATTTAACAGTGATGATACCAGTCGTTCGCGAAAAGATGAGCGTATCCTGTCCCATCGGTTGAATCCGTCACAAACACATGCAAAGGCAAAGTCAATATAGTTCAAGTATTTTTGAGCAAACAACTTTTGAGCAAGAGGGGTATGACGTTTTGAAATCTTGATAGAAAGAGCATGCTCGACTGTACCTCAAAAGTTGTGAAATGTAAACACCAAAGGCTGGAGGTCCTGGAATATTGCTCGACATAAGGGGAAGTTGACGATTAGAAAGTTGAAGTCAACCCTTTTGTCCTCCTGTCTTGCGGAGAGTGTTTTGCCACTCTGAATCTTTATGCATAGATCTAAATATGGAACAGATCAAGTGGTCTCACTGGTCTTCTGTATTTCTAAATTCTAGTTCAAGTGGGTAAGTCAGTGGAAGGGAAGCTTAAGTTAAACTTCTTGGCCAAATTACCTAGTTTTGACTTTGCCAATCCGAGCATAAAGAAACATCCTCTTTTTATTTCACAATCATTATTCTACATGACATATTCAGGTTTCACATTTCAAAAACAAAGTATTTTAACCAATCTATTCCATACAATATGTCTTCGCTACAATATGATGTCATCTGTACACCTGAAGAACAGAATGGGAAGAAAATATGTTTTCGTCTGTGAGAAATAATTCATTGAATGATGAAATATCTTGCATTGTATGTAACTCCTGAGTGGTGTACAACAAAAGGCCTTTGAGGAAGCAGAAATGTTAACACACATTTGTGTTTGCTTGTCTGTCACCTGAACAGAAACATCTGGCTGGCTAGCCAAGAGCCCGGATAGCTCAGTCGGTAGAGCATCAGACTTTTAAGCGGTCTGTCACAATCAGAGTGATCTGACGGTCCAGGGTTCGAGTCCCTGTTCGGGCGGTCCTCTTTTTATTTCACAATCATTATTCTTCATAATATATTTCGGTTTCACATTTCAAAAACAAAGTATTTTAATCAATGTATTCTATACAATATGATGGCATCTGTCCGCAAGAAGGGGAGCACAACTGGTGCCCATGAGGATGCCTACTTCTTGCCTAAATGTCTTACCCCTGAAGATAGATATGTAACTATATCTATGGTCACCACGTTTTGTAACAAAAGCCCTATGGGTCAAGGAATGAAGATTGTCCTTAAGTTTGCCATATATGATAGTGGTGTACAAAATTGAAAAATCAAATATTTTGACAAAATTGAACCTAGTACATTTCTGAGCTTGTAAAACGTCAAGCAAATATTTTGAGTTTTTGAGAATCCACATGGTCTTCCGCGTGTCTCAGATACTTTCTGTGAATATATAGAACTTCCTTTCTTTGTTGTCTGGTGTCGGCCACCGTGACACTGCTGGAATATTGCTAAAAGCTGCGTAAAACCGAACTCACTCACTCACTCACTCACTTTCTTGGTTGTATTAAGAACTATGGTTATAGGCCTTTGAGACAGGGGTTTGGTGGTACATTTGCTGGACCAAGCAATATCTCTCTTTGTGTGTATTTGTATTGAGCTTTGGAATCCTTTTACACAAGTGGAATGAATATGTCTTCAGGTTTTAGAGTCAAGTCAAAAGGTTATAGTACTGGTGCATGGTTTTGGCAGATTTCTTCCTAAGCTCACATATTGGCCTTGTATGTGGCGATATTTGATATGTCACTGAGACCAAGTTCTTTGATCAAACAGTTGAGGTAGAGATGCTTACATAATAAAAAAATTATAATGATCATGTTGTTTGAGGCCTTGTCAGTGGGAACAACTACAAACATTTCATGTAGGTCTGTATATATAAGAAATGTTTTTTAACATACTATTTGTTCAAGAAAATACTTGAAAGATATTAATTCACTTGTTCCCCCCCCCCCCCCCCCAATTGAATTGTTTACTGAACAAACTTAACATACGTCTCGTTTGAGTGTAAACATATATTTGGCTCCTCCAGAAAAGAAACCGCATTTCTTGAGCAGCGACTGAAAATATATTCTATCTCCAACAAATCCGTTGCGGCAACATCGACGTCTAAAAAGCATTTTTCAGAGCTTGACAAAATGTACCGTTTTGCTCTGAACGCATGCGCAGTTGTAACATATAACTGTACACGTGACCAAATGTCGATCTCCCATTGGACAATAACTGCTAGAGTCTTTAATAAAAGTGTGTCGACGACGTTAAATCTCCAAAGTAAGTAAGTAAGTAAGTAAGTAAGTAAGTAAGGAAACACGCTTCCTGCTGAAAATGTCAGCGTGTGATGACGAAGGAATGTGTAATGTGTGTAGCATTAAGGGTTGGCCATACCTTACAATCAGCTTCAGTGATTTATTGCACACGCCATTCCCAATAAGTACGACATCAGATGGAATCACTATGATAGCCAATGAATACGACAGTCAATAAATAGTATTGAATAGTTTATCAATGCTAGCCTCGATGTCTTGATTTATTACATTGACAAGCCATGTATCATTTATAAAGGTTGTAGTCATATCTGGAGAATGGTCCTTTTAAGAATCAATTACAGGTTTCAATTGGAAGTTGTTTACTTACACCGACATATCGTAAGGCGAATTATATTTGATGTATAAAGATTAACGATTATGGTCAAATATGATAAACAACTTATTTACCGTACGAGGATGAAATATAAACCAACTAACCATGGACGTTAAAAAAACCCCGATGCAATATCATGAAACAGTATGATCATATGACTTGATTGTCTGTATTTTTACAGGCCCCTGTGGCATGGCAGGCGCACTGGAATGCGGCGTCAGGCATTAAATACTTTCGTTTTTGTGCAAATTGTATGAATGGCGGATGCTACTGGTAGGGCAGGACATGCTTACCCTTTTCGCGAATACCTGATGTCATCATTAATTTTCAGTGGTTCATTAATATACTTTTTATAGCTATATGGAATCTGTTCCGGCGGATAATCTAGACTGGTTATTCTCTCGCATTGACAATGTATACATACCGATTAAAAAAGTAGTGCCACAAGTTTTTATGTGCTGTAAATATTTCCGATTCAACCTGTAAATATAGCGACAAAACCCTATCCATATCCAATAGAAATCTCTGCATAAAGCAGAGTCGATTATGCGATTCCGACTACATCATGAGCAAGTGTTTTTGAATCACTATCAAATAGAAATGATACCAGATGTTCGCGAAAAAGTGAGCGTATCCAGTCCCGTCACAAACACGTGCAAAGGCATGTCAATTGTTCACCTGAAAAAAACACGGGAATGTGGTTCAAGTCAAACTAAGGAATTGTATCGGACAATTCAAATTTGGAAATGTCCTCCACATGTCTACATAAGACTGTAAGTCACTTTTAATGGAGAGCAGTGATGATCCAGTGATCGATTACGGCGCGAAGGGCGCTGTACAGAGTTGTGGCGTACCAGGATTCGCTGATCGTGGGTTCGAATCCCAGGTTCACCATCCTTGGTGTCACCGTCCTCGCACGTTTAGCTGACACGCTGTACAATATATGAAATAGTGTTGATCCACTCACTCACCCACCCACTCACACTTTACTGATAGGATACGACAACAACACGATATCAGGACTTAGTTCAAGTGGAGGCGGGGTCATTCGGTGTGAACTGTGCCCGGCTCTCTAGAGGTACTTCAAATACACAAACATTCAGGTGTGTTTGGAAGTGAATGTTCTGTATTTTGAAGTGTTCCAGGTTAATCACAGAGCCAGCTAACTTCATCTAATTTCTTCTCTTGTGGGTGAAGTCACGTTTAAACCCTCATGTAAGATTAAAATAATGTTATTTTGTAATTGATTTCATGAAATAAATAAAATAAGTCTGATATCTGATATCACTGCGTTCAAAGTTGAAGGTTGTCAAGAATTATTAGAGAGACTCGTAAATTATTCAGCAGACTGATTGTGGTGTTTGTGACAAGCGTGGTGTTTGACCCTTGCGCAAGTTCAAAGAATGATAGCAATGTGGTGACTGACCTCTACACAATAAAACAAGATTACTTCCGATGTCTTGACAAGGGTTACAACATTCAAGGCATCAGCAATGCTTTGAAAAAAGCATTAATATGTTAGACATGTGAAGGACATTTCCAAATTTGACGCATCGGTGACAGAAATGATGTCCTATGCAATTCCTTATTTACATATGTTCCAGTGTTTTTTAGGGGAACATTTGACTTGCCTTTGCATGCGTTTGTAGCGGACGGCACCGGGCAGGATACACTCACCTTTTCGCGAATACACAATATCATAACTATTTGATTCAGAAACGCATGTTCAAGATGTTGTAGGAATCGTACAGTGGACATTAGAAGAGATTTCTTGTGAGTGAGTGAGTGAATATGGTTTTACGCCGCTTTTAGCAATATTCCAGCAATATCACGACGGGGGACACCAGAAATGGGCTTCACACATTGTACCCATGTCGGGAATCGAACCCGGGTCTACGGCGTGACGAGCGAACGCTTTAACCACTAGGCTACCCGACCGCCCCTAGATTTCTTGTGATTATCAAAATGTTTTCGTAATCATCATCATCATCATCATCATCATCATCATCATCATCATCATCATCATCATTATTATGTTATATACCTGGCCCTTCATAAAAGGGGGGCGGTCGGGTAGCCTAGTGGTTAAAGCGTTCGCTCGTCACGCAGAAGACCCGGGTTCTATTCCCGACATGGGTACAATGTGTGAAGCCCATTTCTGGTGTCCCCCGCCGTGAGATTGCTGGAATATAGCTAAAAGCGGCGTAAAACCATTCTAACTCACTCACTCACTCACTTCATAAAAGGTAGGGGTCTTGAATATTTTTTGGGATAGTTTTATGAAACTGTTTGCTTGACCATCCCCTAAAATATTTATGTTTATGTCAGTGTGTTGTCATGAAATCAATGCATTGCATAGTAACCTAGTTTAACATAAAAGGATGCATGTAAACAATTTTTTCACTTGGACTACCCGTGAACAGGTATCGTATTTGAAACAAATGAAAAACTGGTTTACAGTGTTCGTGATTTTGTCAGCATGACGGACGTTTTGATCTGCGGGAAGTCTTTATGATAAGCACACTCCACGTCATCTTATTCAGTCTCCTCTGTGCTGATGGCGACCGCAGCCGCCCAGACTGTGACCGCAGGAGACAAATGTGGAAATGACAGCGACACCTTCCCGGGGATCAACTGTGCCGTCTACTACCTCTGTGAAAGTGTGTGGGTAACCCGGATGTGTGTGTATCCTGACCTGTTCTCCACATCTACTCACACATGTGACAGTTTCAGCAACGTTGATTGCGGCGGCCGAGAGGTGTCTTTGTCTCCATGTAAGTTAAATATACCGTTAAGGTAACACCGGTAACACCCTTTAAACAACGTACATGTATTGCGTTCTATATGCTCAATCAATGCATCCAGTATACCCGTTAGTCGTTTTCGAAAGGGTTCTTTAACCCTTTAAATGTATCACAACATATATTTTCATAATTGTAGTGACCTCAATTCTGCATACTATAATCTATAAGTAAAATGCCTACTGACGTTGATTGAGAGAGAAGACCTCTTCTAAGAATATACTGAACAAAAAAAGTAAGGGATCATGAATATTTTTGGTAACACCGGTAACACCATTTGAATTTGTGTGCCAAGTCTTGACTACAAAAACATTCCCCAAATAATCATGATCCCTAACTTTTTTGTTTGTTTGTTTTTTGTATATTAGCTTCCGCGGTTATGTGGTCGTCAAAGCAGCTGTTTCAATAAGAGGTGGTTGTTGTTTTTTTAAACCTCTGACCGATCAGAGTGTGTGTGTGATTATGGTTTTACGCCGCTTTTAGCAATATTCCAGCAATATCACGGCGGGGGACACCAGAAATGGGCTTCACACATGATACCCATGTCGGGAATCGAACCCGGGTCTTCTGCGTGACGAGCGAACGCTTTAACCACTGGGCTACCCGACCGCCCCTCTGACCGATCAGAATCATTTTTTTTCCAAATTGATGGCAGCATGACGAATATAGTGATTTCCAGGTGGTTATTCCCGTGGGTGCAGCAACAACGGGACCGGCACGTGTATCTGCCCCACCCACGTGGGTCACATGGACGTGGACTGGGGGTTCTGCTGGGGTCACGAGGACGGCAACTACGTCTACAAACAACGCCCCTGGTCCCCCAACTTCATACAGTGTTGGCATAACAGGACTATCCCCAGAAGCTGTGATGGAAAGGGCAGTGTGTTTGATTTTATTGACAAAACGTGCTCTTCTGTAGACGTTGTGATAAAAAGACATTTCGGTTCGACCGATGTACCAGATGTTCTACGTCACCACCTGGTGACGTCATCGGCAACAACGACGACAACTACAGGTAATGTAGAGTGTATTTGTATTAACTGATGCGCAATTTCTGTAAGTGGCATGTTAGAAGCGGCAGTGCGAATGAGCGAGTGAGTGGTTTGGTTTTACGCCCCTTTTTGCAATATTACAACAATATCACGGCGGGGTACACCAGAAAAGGGCTTTGCACATTGTACCCATGACGGGAATCGAACTCGGGTCTTTGACGTTACGAGCGAACGCTTTAACTACTAAACTACCACACCTCCCCATAGTGAGTTGTCTTAAGGATTTAAAACTTAGTCTTACATATTTCCATGGTGGTTGGGTGAGGGGTGGGGGGGGGGTGGGGTTGGGTGGTGGGTGAGTGAATGAGCGAGTGTGTGGGGGTGAGAGAATGGAGTAGGAGTGTCTCGCTAACCTTACTAGCTACTCAGGTATTGAACATTCAGATTGACCAAAATGCATGTGTAATATCACGGACAAAACATCATTGATGTTGAACGTCTGAACAAGAAAAATTGCAGGGTAACATTATATGTTACATATCTATGATTGTATTGTTCCAGTCTCACCCCACATACCCAACGTGTACTGTCACCTACCTATGTGTGTGCTATTCCAGACTCACCCCCCATACCCAGCGTGTACTGTTACCTACCTATGTGTGTGCTATTCCAGCCTCACCCCACATTCCCAACGTGTACTGTTACCTACTTATGTCCGTGCTATTCCAGCCTCACCCCACATTCCCAACGTGTACTGTTACCTACCTATGTGTGTGCTATACCAGCCTCACCCCACATTCCCAACGTGTACTGTTACCTACTTATGTCCGTGCTATTCCAGCCTCACCCCACATTCCCAACGTGTACTGTTACCTACCTATGTGTGTGCTATTCCAGCCTCACCCCACATTCCCAACGTGTACTGTCACCTACCTATGTGTGTACTATTCCAGCCTCATCCCCCATACCCAGCGTGTACTGTTACCTACCTATGTGTGTGCTATTCCAGCCTCACCCCACATTCCCAACGTGTACTGTTACCTACTTATGTCCGTGCTATTCCAGCCTCACCCCACATTCCCAACGTGTACTGTCACTTACCTATGTGTGTGCTATTCCAGCCTCACCCCACATTCCCAACGTGTACTGTTACCTACCTATGTCCGTGCTATTCCAGCCTCACCCCACATTCCCAACGTGTACTGTTACCTACCTATGTGTGTGCTATTCCAGCCTCACCCCACATTCACAACGTGTACTGTTACCTACCTATGTGTGTGCTATACCAGCCTCACCCCACATTCCCAACGTGTACTGTTACCTACTTATGTCCGTGCTATTCCAGCCTCACCCCACATTCCCAACGTGTACTGTTACCTACCTATGTGTGTGCTATTCCAGCCTCACCCCACATACCCAGCGTGTACTGTTACCTACTTATGCGTGTGCTATTCCAGCCTCACCCAACATTCCCAACGTGTACTGTTACCTACTTATGTGTGTGCTATACCAGCCTCACCCCACATTCCCAACGTTTACTGTTACCTACCTATGTGTGTGCTATTCCAGCCTCACCCCACATTCCCAACGTGTACTGTTACCTATCTACGTGTGTGCTATTCCAGTCTCACCCCACATTTAGAACGTGTACTGTTACCTACCTATGTTTGTGCTATTCAAGCCTCACCCAACATTCCCAACGTGTACTGTTACCTACCTATGTGTGTGCTATTCCAGCCTCACCCCACATTCCCAACGTGTACTGTTACCTACTTATGTCCGTGCTATTCCAGCCTCACCCCACATTCCCAACGTGTACTGTTACCTACCTATGTGTGTGCTATTCCAGCCTCACCCCACATTCCCAACGTGTACTGTTACCTACCTATGTGTGTGCTATTCCAGCCTCACCCCACATTCCCAACGTGTACTGTTACCTACCTATGTGTGTGCTATTCCAGCCTCACCCCACATTCCCAACGTGTACTGTTACCTACCTATGTGTGTGCTATACCAGCCTCACCCCACATTCCCAACGTGTACTGTTACCTACTTATGTCCGTGCTATTCCAGCCTCACCCCACATTCCAAACGTGTACTGTTACCTACCTATGTGTGTGCTATTCCAGCCTCACCCCACATACCCAACGTGTACTGTTACCTACTTATGCGTGTGCTATTCCAGCCTCACCCCACATTCAGAACGTGTACTGTTACCTACCTATGTGTGTGCTATTCCAGTCTCACCCCACATTCCCAACGTGTACTGTCACCTACTTATGTCCGTGCTATTCCAGCCTCACCCAACATTCCCAACGTGTACTGTTACCTACTTATGTCCGTGCTATTCCAGCCTCACCCAACATTCCAAACGTGTACTGTCACCTACTTATGTCCGTGCTATTCCAGCCTCACCCAACATTCCCAACGTGTACTGTTACCTACTTATGTCCGTGCTATTCCAACCTCACCCCACATTCCCAACGTGTACTGTCACCTACTTATGTCCGTGCTATTCCAGCCTCACCCCACATTCCAAACGTGTACTGTTACCTACTTATGTCCGTGCTATTCCAGCCTCACCCCACATTCCCAACGTGTACTGTTACCTACTTATGTCCGTGCTATTCCAGCCTCACCCCACATTCCCAACGTGTACTGTTACCTACCTATGTGCGCGCTATTCCAGCCTCACCCTACATTCCCAACGTGTACTGTTACCTACCTATGTGTGTGCTATTCCAGCCTCACCCAACATTCCCAACGTGTACTGTCACCTACCTATGTGTGTGCTATTCCAGCCTCACCCCACATTCAGAACGTGTACTGTTACCTTTCTATGTGTGTGCTATTCCAGCCTCACCCCACATTCCCAACGTGTACTGTTACCTACCTATGTGTGTGCTATTCCAGCCTCACCCCACATTCCCAACGTGTACTGTTACCTACCTATGTGTGTGCTATTCCAGCCTCACCCCACATTCCCAACGTGTACTGTTACCTATCTACGTGTGTGCTATTCCAGCCTCACCCCACATTCCCAACGTGTACTGTTACCTACCTATGTTTGTGCTATTCAAGCCTCACCCAACATTCCCAACGTGTACTGTTACCTACCTATGTGTGTGCTATTCCAGCCTCACCCCACATTCCCAACGTGTACTGCTACCTACTTATGTCCGTGCTATTCCAGCCTCACCCCACATTCCCAACGTGTACTGTTACCTACCTATGTGTGTGCTATTCCAGCCTCATCCCACATTCCCAACGTGTACTGTTACCTACCTATGTGTGTGCTATTCCAGCCTCACCCCACATACCCAACGTGTACTGTTACCTACCTATGTGTGTGCTATACCAGCCTCACCCCACATTCCCAACGTGTACTGTTACCTACTTATGTCCGTGCTATTCCAGCCTCACCCCACATTCCCAACGTGTACTGTTACCTACCTATGTGTGTGCTATTCCAGCCTCACCCCACATACCCAACGTGTACTGTTACCTACTTATGTGTGTGCTATTCCAGCCTCACCCAACATTCCCAACGTGTACTGTTACCTACTTATGTGTGTGCTATACCAGCCTCACCCCACATTCCCAACGTTTACTGTCACCTACCTATGTGTGTGCTATTCCAGCCTCACCCCACATTCCCAACGTGTACTGTTACCTACCTATGTGTGTGCTATTCCAGCCTCACCCCACATTCCCAACGTGTACTGCTACCTACTTATGTCCGTGCTATTCCAGCCTCACCCCACATTCCCAACGTGTACTGTTACCTACCTATGTGTGTGCTATTCCAGCCTCACCCCACATTCCAAACGTGTACTGTTACCTACCTATGTGTGTGCTATTCCAGCCTCACCCCACATTCCCAACGTGTACTGTTACCTACCTATGTGCGCGCTATTCCAGCCTCACCCTACATTCCCAACGTGTACTGTTACCTACTTATGTGTGTGCTATTCCAGCCTCACCCCACATTCCCAACGTTTACTGTCACCTACCTATGTGTGTGCTATTCCAGCCTCACCCCACATTTAGAACGTGTACTGTTACCTACCTATGTGTGTGCTATTCCAGCCTCACCCCACATTCCCAACGTGTACTGCTACCTACCTATGTCCGTGCTATTCCAGCCTCACCCCACATTCCCAACGTGTACTGTTACCTACCTATGTGTGTGCTATTCCAGCCTCACCCCACATTCCCAACGTGTACTGTTACCTACCTATGTGTGTGCTATTCCAGCCTCACCCCACATTCCCAACGTTAACTGTCACCTACCTATGTGTGTGCTATTCCAGCCTCACCCCACATTCCCAACGTGTACTGTTACCTACCTATGTGTGTGCTATTCCAGCCTCACCCCACATTCCCAACGTGTACTGCTACCTACTTATGTCCGTGCTATTCCAGCCTCACCCCACATTCCCAACGTGTACTGTTACCTACCTATGTGTGTGCTATTCCAGCCTCACCCCACATTCCCAACGTGTACTGTTACCTACCTATGTGTGTGCTATTCCAGCCTCACCCCACATTCCCAACGTGTACTGTTACCTACCTATGTGTGTGCTATTCCAGCCTCACCCCACATTCCCAACGTGTACTGTTACCTACCTATGTGTGTGCTATACCAGCCTCACCCCACATTCCCAACGTGTACTGTTACCTACTTATGTGCGTGCTATTCCAGCCTCACCCCACATTCCAAACGTGTACTGTTACCTACCTATGTGTGTGCTATTACAGACTCACCCCACATTCCCAACGTGTACTGTTACCTATCTACGTGTGTGCTATTCCAGTCTCACCCCACATTCCCAACGTGTACTGTTACCTACTTATGTGTGTGCTATTCAAGCCTCACCCAACATTCCCAACGTGTACTGTCACCTACCTATGTGTGTGCTATTCCAGACTCACCCCACATACCCAGCGTGTACTGTTACCTACCTATGTGTGTGCTATTCCAGCCTCACCCCACATTCCCAACGTGTACTGTCACCTACTTATGTCCGTGCTATTCCAGCCTCACCCAACATTCCCAACGTGTACTGTCACCTACTTATGTCCGTGCTATTCCAGCCTCATCCCACATTCCCATCGTGTACTGTTACCTACCTATGTGTGTGCTATTCCAGCCTCACCCCACATTCCCAACGTGTACTGTTACCTACCTATGTGTGTGCTATTCCAGCCTCACCCCACATTCCCAACGTGTACTGTTACCTACCAATGTGTGTGGTTTTCCAGCCTCACCCAACTTTCCCAACGTGTACTGTCACCTACCTATGTGTGTGCTATTCCAGCCTCACCCCACATTCCCAACGTGTACTGTTACCTACCTATGTGCGCGCTATTCCAGCCTCACCCTACATTCCCAACGTGTACTGTTACCTACTTATGTGTGTGCTATTCCAGCCTCACCCCACATTCCAAACGTTTACTGTCACCTACCTTTGTGTGTGCTATCCTTGCCTCACCCCACATTCCCAACGTGTACTGTTACCTATCTACGTGTGTGCTATTCCAGCCTCACCCCACATTCAGAACGTGTACTGTTACCTACCTATGTGTGTGCTATTCCAGCCTCACCCCACATTCCCAACGTGTACTGTTACCTACCTATGTGTGTGCTATTCCAGCCTCACCCCACATTCCCAACGTCTACTGTTACCTACCTGTGTGTGTGCTATTCCAGACTCACCCCACAATCCCAACGTGTACTGTTACCTATCTACGTGTGTGCTATTCCAGTCTCACCCCACATTCCCAACGTGTACTGTTACCTACTTATTTGTGTGCTATTCAAGCCTCACCCAACATTCCCAACGTGTACTGTTACCTACCAATGTGTGTGGTATTCCAGCCTCACCCAACATTCCCAACGTGTACTGTCACCTACCTATGTGTGTGCTATTCCAGCCTCACCCCACATTCACAACGTGTACTGTTACCTACCTATGTGCGCGCTATTCCAGCCTCACCCTACATTCCCAACGTGTACTGTTACCTACTTATGTGTGTGCTATACCAGCCTCACCCCACATTCCCAACGTTTACTGTCACCTACCTTTGTGTGTGCTATCCTTGCCTCACCCCACATTCCCAACGTGTACTGTTACCTATCTACGTGTGTGCTATTCCAGCCTCACCCCACATTCAGAACGTGTTCTGTTACCTACCTATGTGTGTGCTATTCCAGCCTCACCCCACATTCCCAACGTGTACTGTTACCTACCTATGTGTGTGCTATTCCAGCCTCACCCAACATTCCCAACGTGTACTGTTACCTACCTGTGTGTGTGCTATTCCAGACTCACCCCACAATCCCAACGTGTACTGTTACCTATCTACGTGTGTGCTATTCCAGTCTCACCCCACATTCCCAACGTGTACTGTTACCTACTTATGTGTGTGCTATTCAAGCCTCACCCAACATTCCCAACGTGTACTGTCACCTACCTATGTGTGTGCTATTCCAGACTCACCCCACATACCCAGCGTGTACTGTTACCTACCTATGTGTGTGCTATTCCAGCCTCACCCCACATTCCCAACGTGTACTGTCACCTACTTATGTGTGTGCTATTCCAGCCTCACCCAACATTCCCAACGTGTACTGTCACCTACTTATGTCCGTGCTATTCCAGCCTCACCCCACATCCCCATCGTGTACTGTTACCTACCTATGTGTGTGCTATTCCAGCCTCACCCCAAATTCCCAACGTGTACTGTTACCTACCTATGTGTGTGCTATTCCAGCCTCACCCCACATTCCCAACGTGTACTGTTACCTACCAATGTGCGCGCTATTCCAGCCTCACCCCACATTCCCAACGTGTACTGTTACCTACCTATGTGTGTCGTATTCCAGCCTCACCCAACTTTCCCAACGTGTACTGTCACCTACCTATGTGTGTGCTATTCCAGCCTCACCCCACATTCCCAACGTGTACTGTTACCTATCTATGTGCGCGCTATTCCAGCCTCACCCTACATTCCCAACGTGTACTGTTACCTACCTATGTGTGTGCTATTCCAGCCTCACCCAACATTCCCAACGTGTACTGTCACCTACCTATGTGTGTGCTATTCCAGCCTCACCCCACATTCAGAACGTGTACTGTTACCTACCTATGTTTGTGCTATTCAAGCCTCACCCAACATTCCCAACTTGTACTGTTACCTACCTATGTGTGTGCTATTCCAGCCTCACCCCACATTCCCAACGTGTACTGCTACCTACTTATGTCCGTGCTATTCCAGCCTCACCCCACATTCACAACGTGTACTGTTACCTACTTATGTCCGTGCTATTCCAGCCTCACCCCACATTCCCAACGTGTACTGTTACCTACCTATGTGTGTGCTATTCCAGCCTCACCCCACATACCCAACGTGTACTGTCACCTACTTATGCGTGTGCTATTCCAGCCTCACCTAACATTCCCAACGTGTACTGTTACCTACTTATGTGTGTGCTATTCCAGCCTCACCCCACATTCCCAACGTTTACTGTCACCTACCTATGTGTGTGCTATTCCAGCCTCACCCAACATTCCCAACGTGTACTGTTACCTACCTATGTGTGTGCTATTCCAGCCTCACCCCACATTCAGAACGTGTACTGTTACCTTCCTATGTGTGTGCTATTCCAGCCTCACCCCACATTCCCAACGTGTACTGTTACCTACCTATGTTTGTGCTATTCCAGCCTCACCCCACATTCCCAACGTGTACTGCTACCTACCTGTGTGTGTGCTATTCCAGACTCACCCCACATTCCCAACGTGTACTGTTACCTATCTACGTGTGTGCTATTCCAGTCTCACCCCACATTCCCAACGTGTACTGTTACCTACTTGTGTGTGTGCTATTCCAGCCTCACCCAACATTCCCAACGTGTACTGTCACCTACCTATGTGTGTGCTATTCCAGACTCACCCCACATACCCAGCGTGCTGTTACCTACCTATGTGTGTGCTATTCCAGTCTCACCCCACATTCCAAACGTGTACTGTTACCTACTTATGTCCGTGCTATTCCAGCCTCACCCCACATTCCCAACGTGTACTGTCACCTACTTATGTCCGTGCTATTCCAGCCTCACCCAACATTCCCAACGTGTACTGTTACCTACTTATGTCCGTGCTATTCCAGCCTCACCCCGCATCCCCGTCGTGTACTGTTACCTACCTATGTGTGTGCTATTCCAGCCTCACCCCAAATTCCCAACGTGTACTGTTACCTACCTATGTGTGTGCTATTCCAGCCTCACCCCACATTCCCAACGTGTACTGTAACCTATCTATGTGTGTGCTATTCCAGCCTCACCCCACATACCCAACGTGTACTGTCACCTACCTATGTGTGTGCTATACCAGCCTCACCCCACATTCCCAACGTGTACTGTCACCTACCAATGTGTGTGCTATTCCAGCCTCACCCCACATTCCCAACGTGTACTGTTACCTATCTACGTGTGTGCTATTCCAGCCTCACCCCACATTCCCAACGTGTACTGTCACCTATCTATGTGTGTGCTATTCCAGTCTCACCCCACATTCACAACGTGTACTGTTACCTATCTATGTGTGTATTATTCCAGTCTCACCCCACATACCCAACGTGTACTGTTACCTATCTATGTGTGTGCTATTCCAGTCTCACCCCACATTCACAACGTGTACTGTTACCTACCTATGTGTGTGCTATTCCAGCCTCACCCAACATTCCCAACGTGTACTGTAACCTACCTATGTGTGTGCTATTCCAGCCTCACCCCACATACCCTACGTGTACTGTTACCTATCTATGTGTGTGCTATTCCAGTCTCACCCAACATTCACAACGGGTCCTGTCGCACATCCGACCCCCTGGTTCCTGGCAAAAACTGCGCCGTCTTCTACAAGTGTGATCCCACCACGCGGACCTGGCAGAAACAAACCTGTGTCTATCCGGAATTATTTTCAATGCTATCCCTTGGTTGTGAAGCCTTCAGCAAGGTGGACTGCGGTGGAAGAGAGATTTTCTACTCACCATGTAAGTCTTCAGGTTCTGACCTGGCATTTTCCGGGGTATATCACATCCCCAGTTATCTTTGATTGTCGTTAGAGGCGACGGAGATGTATCGTGTGATCAGGCTCGGTGATTTGATGCATTTCGTGTCATCGTACCCCGATGGCATTGAACGTTGCTCACAACGTCAACCACTGTTGGGGATTTCAGGCCGCTGTTATATAACAGGAATAGTGTTGACTGCGGCGTAAAACCACATTCACTCACCCAGTATGTATGGTACAGGGCGTTAGGGAACTTGGTGCCAAAATGCGCCGTGTAACGAGTAACCATATGATGGATCTTTATTTACTTTTATGTTGCAATCTGAAATATTCCTTGATTGCCCATTTGATGATTGTAAATATGCATTAAAAAAGATCTTTTCATTGATTTCATATAAATCGGGTCGAACTTGTGCTCAATAAACGTTATTGCACCTGTTACTGAATCCAAGAACACGACATTGTGAGTTGGTTTGTGTACCCTGACCTATGACCATTCTGGATTTATCGCATGCTTCTTAAAATCTAATTCCTATTGAAACAACGTAATACAACGTTTTAATTTATGCCTAACGATCTGAAACGGGAAATAAAAGCGACAAAGCCCTTTCCATTAGACACGGGGGATCTCTGCTACAAGCAGAGTCGATTTAAGATTTCGGCTTTGTCATGAGCATACGTTTATGAGTCTCTATGAAAGAGTGACGATGCCACGTGTTCGCGAAAGGTTGAGCATGTCCCTCACTCATCACAAACACACGCAAAGGCAAGTAAAATGTTCAGTTAAACAAATGGGAACATGTGGTACAAGTCAAAATAGGGTTTTGTCACTGATGCGTCAAATAAGGGAATGTCCTCCACATGTCTACCATAAACCTTTTTGAAAGATTTGCTGATGCCTTGAATGTTGTAGCTTCGATCAAACAAGTTTTGAGCAGGAGTTGAATGACGCTCTTTGAAATCGTGATAGAAAGAGCATGCTCAATTGTACTTTAAAAGAAATTCCGTAATTTTAATCATGCTATATAAATTGGAAGTTGACCAATGAGAGTCGAGTATCCTCCAAAGTCCTTCCCTTGATTCTACTGTTTCAGGCGACTACATGGACGACTGTAGCACCAACCAGACTGGCACGTGTCTGTGTCCAGACAACGCGATGTACCATGACGTGGACTGGAGCTTCTGTCGCGGCAAGACGGATGGCAACTACATCTACAGCGAGAGGCCCTTGTCGCCGTTCTATGTCACGTGTGACCGAAATAGAACGTTACCAACACGATGCAGGCAACGAGGAACGGTAATATTTGACAATAACCAACACAGATGTTCTCTTGTATACGAGGTGATTGCGAAATATTTTGTCCACAAGTCTCTGAGTACTATACCTGATTATATCAGGCAGTTCTTCACCACTTCTGGAGTTCCTGCTTCGTGGGTGACGCCTCAAGTGACGGCGTCAACTGTTAATACACACGTAGCACACAGTGGAATACCTACAGCGGGCCAAGGTTCAGAACATAGCAAAGCACCAACGTTGATACCTGGTACAGCCAGTCCAGACACAGGACAAAGTGGAATGCCCACAGCAAGTCCAGGAGTAGGACAGAGTGGAACGCCTACAGAAAGTCCAGAAACAGGACAAACTGGAATGCCTACAGCAAGTCCAGGAGTAAGTCAGGGCGGAATGCCTACAACAAGTCCAGGAGTAGGACACATAGGAATGCCTACAGCAAGTCCAGGTGTAGGACAGAGCGAAATGCCCACAGCAAGTCCAGGAGTAGGACAAAGTGGAATGCCTACAGCAAGTCCAGGAGTAGGACAAAGTGGAATGCCTACAGCAAGTCCAGGAGTAGGACAAAGTGGAATGCCTACAACAAGTCCAGGAGTAGGACAGAGTGGAACGCCGACAGCAACTCCAGGGGAAGGACAAAGTAAAATGCCTACAGCAAGTCCAGGAGTAGGACATAGTGGAGTGCCTACAGCAGGTCTAGGAGTAGGACAAAGTGGAATGCCTACAACAAGTCCAGGAGTGGGACAGAGTGGAACGCCCACAGCAAGTCAAGGAGTAGGACAAAGTGGAATGCCTACATCAAGTCCAGGAGTAGAACAGAGCGGAATGCCTACATCAAGTCCAGGAGTAGGACAAAGTGGAATGTCTACAGCAAGTCCAGGAGTAGGTCAGGGCGGAATGCCCACATCAAGTCCAAGAGTAGGACAGAGTGGAACGCCTACAGCAAGTCCAGGAGTAGGTCAGGGCGGAATGCCTGCAGCAAGTCCAGGAGTAGGTCAGGGCGGAATGCCTACAGCAAGTCCAGGAGTAGGTCAGGGCGGAATGCCTGCAGCAAGTCCAGGAGTAGGACAGAGCGGAATGCCTACAGCAAGTCCAGGAGTAGGACAAAGCGGAACGCCTACAGCAAGTCCAGGAGTAGGACAGAGTGGAACGCCCACAGCAACTCCAGGGGAACGACAAAGTAAAATGCCTACAGCAAGTCCAGGAGTAGGACATAGTGGAGTGCCTACAGCAGGCTTAGGAGTAGGACAAAGTGGAATGCCTACAACAAGTCCAGGAGTGGGACAGAGTGGAACGCCCACAGCAAGTCAAGGAGTAGGACAAAGTGGAATGCCTACATCAAGTCCAGGAGTAGAACAAAGTGGAATGCCCACATCAAGTCCAGGAGTAGGACAAAGCGGAATGCCTACAACAAGTCTAGAAACAGGACAAAGTGGAATGCCTTCAGCAAATCCAGAAACTGGCCAGAGCGGAATGCTTACACCAAGTCCAGAAACAGGACAGAGTGAAATACCCACAGCCGGCCAAGGTTCAGAACATAGCAAAGCACCAACGTCGATACCTGGTACAGCCAGGCCAGACACAGGACAGAGTGGAAATCCCACAGCAAGTCCAGGTGCAGGGCATAGCGGAATGTCTACATCAAATCCAACAAAAAGTCAAAGCAAAATGTCTACAGCAGGTCCAGGAACAGGACAGAGCGGAATGCCTACATCAAATCCAACAGAAAGTCAAAGCAAAATGTCTACAGCAGGTCCAGGAACAGGACAGAGCGGAATGCCTACATCAAATCCAACAAAAAGTCAAAGCGAAATGTCTACAGCAGGTCCAGGTACAGGACAGCGTGGATTGCCTACAGCAAGTCCAGGAAGAGCAGAGATTGATCATGCAACAGCATACAGCCATCCACAGATACCAGGTTTTGGAACAGCTAAAATTGTCCATGAAACACCAAGTGTGGAGATTGGACAAATCACTTCAATAATGACAAGTGGAACAGTGGATCATACTTTATTTCCAACAATTGTGTCAGTGGGACAGGGGTCATCAAATAAAGGCGGGCAGTCTACTACATTAGTGAACCTCCAGGGCTACTCACATACAGCATCTGCAGTGATGAGAACAAATTCTGATGCAAAAATGTCAAATTCGGAAATAGAACACACCGAAAGTGTACAAAATAAACCAACTGCAGGAGTTGTTCCTTCGCAATCATACTTCCGTGGTGTGATGTCAAGTGATCATGTTGTCCATGAAACGTTCCTTATGTCGACGGAAGAAACTACAACTGTTATACCTCAGATAATCAACAGTGAGGAGCTAACATTGAGTTCGTCACTGGGTGACATTGTCAATAACCTATCTGAATATAAAACAACCCACCTGCATGATATGTCTCGTGATTCTATCAGAACTTCCTCCATGGACGTCACCGAAACACTGCTTGCTCCCAGTTCATTATTTACTTCCACTGTGCCATTTTCTATATCTGGTACAGAACGTTCAGGTTCTACACCATCATTGCCAAGTGATGGTGATACTCAATCTCATTCTTTGAGAACAAATTTAAAAACGTCAGCGCTGAATGAAAAAATTGTAAGGAACAGTCGGTCGTTCACGTCACAAACATTAGTGCCAGATAGACATACACGAACTATCGAAACGTTCCTTGCAACACACATGCCTCCGATGTCGGTGTCAGACTCTGTCAAATCAGCACCGTTACCCACGTCTGGACTGTTTGTTGAACACAGTGAGCATCGTGTTGTCGCAGCTGGGTCAACATCACCTCCAACACAGGCTGTCACAAACGTTGATGTCACCAAGGGGGTTAATGAAGTAGCTGGGTCGACACGACAACACGCTGTGTCTGTTGTGGACATTAACCCTTCAACTGTAGGGAGTTCTATACCCTCTCTTACAAAGATCATCCTGGATATACAGCCGTCCCCACTTTCTCAGATAACCCAGAGTGTAGCCGCTACACCATCATATTTGAAAGATCTTCATTTGACAAGCTTGTCGTATGCATCTCCAACACATAACCACCAGTCCTCCATAACAAGAGCAGTAGAAAATGTGTTTGTTCTCACCTATCCAGACACAGTGTTGACTAGTGTTCCTGTCCACTCAAAACCAGTTTTGGCTAGTGTTCCTGTCCATTCAGAAACAGTGTTGGCTAGTGTTCCTGTCCATTCAGAAACAGTGCTGGGAAGTGTTCCTGTCCATTCAGAAACAGTGCTGGGAAGTGTTCCTGCCCATTCAGAAACAGTGTTGGGAAGTATTCCTGTCCATTCAGAAACAGTGGTGGGAAGTGTTCCTGTCCATCCAGAAACAGTGTTGGCTAGTGTCCCTATCCATTCAGAAACAGTGTTGGGAAGTGTCCCTGTCCATTTCGAAACAGTGGTGGGAAGTGTTCCTGTCCATCCAGAAACAGTGTTGGCTAGTGTCCCTATCCATTCAGAAACAGTGTTGGGAAGTGTCCCTGTCCATTCAGAAACAGTGTTGGCTAGTGTCCCTATCCATTCAGAAACAGTGTTGGGAAGTGTCCCTGTCCATTCAGAAACAGTGTTGGTTGGTGTCCCTGTTCAATCAGAAACAGTGTTGGGAAGTGTTCCTGTCCATTCAGAAACAGTGTTGGGAAGTGTTCCTGTCCATTCAGAAACAGTGCTGGAAAGTGTCCCTGTCCATTCAGAAACAGTGTTGGTTGGTGTCCCTGTTCAATCAGAAACAGTGTTGGGAAGTGTTCCTGCCCATTCAGAAACAGTGTTGGGTAGTGTTCCTGTCCATTCAGAAACAGTGTTGGTTGGTGTCCTTGTTCAATCAGAAACAGTGTTGGGAAGTGTCCCTGTCCATTCAGAAACAGTGTTGGGAAGTGTTCCTATCCATTCAGAAACAGTACTGGGAAGTGTCCCTGTCCATTCAGAAACAGTGTTGGGTAATGTTCCTGTCCATTCAGAAACAGTGTTGGTTGGTGTCCCTGTCCAATCAGAAACAGTGTTGGGAAGTGTTCCTGTCCATTTAGAAACAGTGTTGGGAAGTGTTCCTGTCCATTCAGAAACAGTGTTTGGAAGTGTCCCTATCCATTCAGAAACAGTGCTGGGAAGTGTCCCTGTCCATTCAGAAACAGTGTTGGCTAGTGTCCCTATCCATTCAGAAACAGTGTTGGGAAGTGTCCCTGTCCATTCAGAAACAGTGTTGGGTAGTGTTCCTGTCCATTCAGAAACAGTGTTGGTTGGTGTCCCTGTTCAATCAGAAACAGTGTTGGGAAGTGTTCCTGTCCATTCAGAAACAGTGTTGGGAAGTGTTCCTGTCCATTTAGAAACAGTGCTGGAAAGTGTCCCTGTCCATACAGAAACAGTGTTGGTTGGTGTCCCTGTTCAATCAGAAACAGTGTTGGGAAGTGTTCCTGCCCATTCAGAAACAGTGTTGGGTAGTGTTCCTGTCCATTCAGAAACAGTGTTGGTTGGTGTCCCTGTTCAATCAGAAACAGTGTTGGGAAGTGTCCCTGTCCATTCAGAAACAGTGTTGGGAAGTGTTCCTGTCCATTCAGAAACAGTACTGGGAAGTGTCCCTGTCCATTCAGAAACAGTGTTGGGTAGTGTTCCTGTCCATTCAGAAACAGTGTTGGTTGGTGTCCCTGTTCAATCAGAAACAGTGTTGGGAAGTGTTCCTGTCCATTCAGAAACAGTGTTTGGAAGTGTCCCTGTCCATTCAGAAACAGTGTTGGGTAGTGTTCCAACAAACACAGATATAGTAATCACTACTTTGAGTACGGATACCACCATGGATGCTTCAGGGTCAGGAACCAACAAACCAACAGCTCACCCTAAAACAGACCTCATCCATATTCAGCCAACATCCATCTCAGGACAATACGCTTCCAGTATCACTATACGCTATTCCTCCACAACCCCTCACGACAAAGGCGATAACTCTCGCCCGACATCAAACAACAGCGTTGGAAGAGATGATGACACTATTCTACTAGTACTAGCTGTTGTTGGTGGGTGTGTAGTGCTGATGGTGGCCCTAGTCTCGATCACAGTCAAATCACAAGGCGGTTGTGGGAGCAGACAGTCTCTGACACTCACTGAGTTTGTGGAGCCTAATGTCAGGCAAAGCTGGCAGGGCAAGGAAAGTGACCTTCTGTATTGATCATGCATTGTCATGAGAACTGAAGCTTGCTTAAACGATCATAAAGAGTTTAACATCTAACTGTCATGAGAACTGAACCTTGCTTAAACGTTCATAGAGAGTTTAACATCTAACTGTCGTGGAACTGAACCTCGCTTAAACATTCATAGAGAGTTTAACATCTAACTGTTATGGGAACTGAACCTTGCTTCAACGTTCATAGAGAGTTTAACATCAAACTGTCATGGATCTGAACCTTGCTTAAACATCCATAGAGAGTTTAAGATCAAACTGTTATGGGAACTGAACCTTGCTTAAACGTTCATAGAGAGTTTAACATCAAACTGTAATTGAGATCGATGACATGCATCAACCAAGTCAGTGATCCTGACTACCCGATCCCGTTAGTCGCCTCTTAAAACAAGCATAGTCGCCTTTTACGGCAAGCATTGGTTGCTGAAGACCTTACTCGGATCTTCACGGGTTCACCACTCAGGAGTTACATACAATGCAAGATATTTCATCATTCAATGAATTATTTCTCATACACGAAAATATATTCTCTCCCCATTCTGTTCTTCAGGTTCACAGATGTCGTCATATTGTATGGAATAGATTGGTTAAAATACTTTGTTTTTGAAATGTGAAACCGAAATATATTATGAAGAATAATGATTGTGAAATAAAAAGAGGACCGCCCGAACAGGGACTCGAACCCTGGACCCTCAGATCACTCTGATTGTGACAGACCGCTTAAAAGTCTGATGCTCTACCGACTGAGCTATCCGGGCACTCGGTAAGCTAGCCAGATGTTTCTGTTCAGCTGACAGACAAGCAAACACAAATGTTTGTTGACATTTCTGCTGCCTCAAGCGCCTTTTATCGTACATCATTCAGGTTTGTTGGTTGGCAAACACGCCGCACTCTGCAATATTCCATCTTATATGACGGCGGTCTGTAAATAATCGAGTCTGGACCAGACAATCCAGTGATTAATATGATGAGCATCGATCCACGTAATTGAGATCGATGACATGCATCAACCAAGTCAGTGATCCTGACTACCCGATCCCGTTAGTCACCTCTTAAAACAAGCATAGTCGCCTTTTACGGCAAGCATTGGTTGCTGAAGACCTTACTCGGATCTTCACGGGTCCACCATTCAGGAGTTACATACAATGCAAGCTATGTCATCATTCAATGAATTATTTCTCACAGACGAAAACATATTTTCTTCCCATTCTGTTCTTCAAGTGTACAGACGCCATCATATTGTATGGAATAGATTGGTTAAACTACTTTGTTTTTAAAATGTGAAACCGAAATATATTATGTAGAATAATGATTGTGAAATAAAAAGAGGACCGCCCGAACAGGGACTCGAACCCTGGACCCTCAGATCACTCTGATTGTGACAGACCGCTTAAAAGTCTGATGCTCTACCGACTGAGCTATCCTGGCTCTTGGCTAGCCAGCCAGATGTTTCTGTTCAGCTGACAGACAAGCAAACACAAATGTTTGTTAACATTTCTGCTTCCTTAAAGTCCTTTTGTCGTACACCACTCAGGAGTTACATACAATGCAAGATATTTCATCATTCAATGAATTATTTCTCATACACGAAAATATATTCTCTCCCCATTCTGTTCTTCAGGTTCACAGATGTCGTCATACTGTATGGAATAGATTGGTTAAAATACTTTGTTTTTGAAAAGTGAAACCGAAATATATTATGAAGAATAATGATTGTGAAATAAAAAGAGGACCGCCCGAACAGGGACTCGAACCCTGGACCCTCAGATCACTCTGATTGTGACAGACCGCTTAAAAGTCTGATGCTCTACCGACTGAGCTATCCGGGCATTGGGTAAGCTAGCCAGATGTTTCTGTTCAGGTGACAGACAAGCAAACACAAATGTTTGCTGATATTTCTGCTGCCTCAAGCGCCTTTTATCGTACATCATTCAGGTTGGTTGGTTGGCAAACACGCCGCACTCTGCAATATTCCATCTTATATGACGGCGGTCTGTAAATAATCGAGTCTGGACCAGACAATCCAGTGATTAATATGATGAGCATCGATCCACGTAATTGAGATCGATGACATGCATCAACCAAGTCAGTGATCCTGACTACCCGATCCCGTTAGTCGCCTCTTAAAACAAGCATAGTCGCCTTTTACGGCAAGCATTGGTTGCTGAAGACCTTACTCGGATCTTCACGGGTCCACCATTCAGGAGTTACATACAATGCAAGCTATGTCATCATTCAATGAATTATTTCTCACAGACGAAAACATATTTTCTTCCCATTCTGTTCTTCAAGTGTACAGACGCCATCATATTGTATGGAATAGATTGGTTAAACTACTTTGTTTTTAAAATGTGAAACCGAAATATATTATGTAGAATAATGATTGTGAAATAAAAAGAGGACCGCCCGAACAGGGACTCGAACCCTGGACCCTCAGATCACTCTGATTGTGACAGACCGCTTAAAAGTCTGATGCTCTACCGACTGAGCTATCCGGTCTCTTGGCTAGCCAGCCAGATGTTTCTGTTCAGCTGACAGACAAGCAAAGACAAATGTTTGTTAACATTTCTGCTTCCTCAAAGTCCTTTTGTCGTACACCACTCAGGAGTTACATACAATGCAAGATATTTCATCATTCAATGAATTATTTCTCATACACGAAAATATATTCTCTCCCCATTCTGTTCTTCAGGTTCACAGATGTCGTCATATTGTATGGAATAGATTGGTTAAAATACTTTGTTTTTGAAATGTGAAACCGAAATATATTATGAAGAATAATGATTGTGAAATAAAAAGAGGACCGCCCGAACAGGGACTCGAACCCTGGACCCTCAGATCACTCTGATTGTGACAGACCGCTTAAAAAACCGATGCTCTACCGACTGAGCTATCCGGGCACTCGGTAAGCTAGCCAGATGTTTCTGTTCAGGTGACAGACAAGCAAACACAAATGTTTGTTGACATTTCTGCTGCCTCAAGCGCCTTTTATCGTACATCATTCAGGTTGGTTGGTTGGCAAACACGCCGCACTCTGCAATATTCCATCTTATATGACGGCGGTCTGTAAATAATCGAGTCTGGACCAGACAATCCAGTGATTAATATGATGAGCATCGATCCACGTAATTGAGATCGATGACATGCATCAACCAAGTCAGTGATCCTGACTACCCGATCCCGTTAGTCGCCTCTTAAAACAAGCATAGTCGCCTTTTACGGCAAGCATTGGTTGCTGAAGACCTTACTCGGATCTTCACGGGTCCACCATTCAGGAGTTACATACAATGCAAGCTATGTCATCATTCAATGAATTATTTCTCACAGACGAAAACATATTTTCTTCCCATTCTGTTCTTCAAGTGTACAGACGCCATCATATTGTATGGAATAGATTGGTTAAACTACTTTGTTTTTAAAATGTGAAACCGAAATATATTATGTAGAATAATGATTGTGAAATAAAAAGAGGACCGCCCGAACAGGGACTCGAACCCTGGACCCTCAGATCACTCTGATTGTGACAGACCGCTTAAAAGTCTGATGCTCTACCGACTGAGCTATCCGGTCTCTTGGCTAGCCAGCCAGATGTTTCTGTTCAGCTGACAGACAAGCAAAGACAAATGTTTGTTAACATTTCTGCTTCCTCAAAGTCCTTTTGTCGTACACCACTCAGGAGTTACATACAATGCAAGATATTTCATCATTCAATGAATTATTTCTCATACACGAAAATATATTCTCTCCCCATTCTGTTCTTCAGGTTCACAGATGTCGTCATATTGTATGGAATAGATTGGTTAAAATACTTTGTTTTTGAAATGTGAAACCGAAATATATTATGAAGAATAATGATTGTGAAATAAAAAGAGGACCGCCCGAACAGGCACTCGAACCCTGGACCCTCAGATCACTCTGATTGTGACAGACCGCTTAAAAGTCTGATGCTCTACCGACTGAGCTATCCGGGCACTCGGTAAGCTAGCCAGATGTTTCTGTTCAGGTGATAGACAAGCAAACACAAATGTTTGTTGACATTTCTGCTGCCTCAAGCGCCTTTTATCCTACATCATTCAGGTTGGTTGGTTGGCAAACACGCCGCACTCTGCAATATTCCATCTTATATGACGGCGGTCTGTAAATAATCGAGTCTGGACCAGACAATCCAGTGATTAATATGATGAGCATCGATCCACGTAATTGAGATCGATGACATGCATCAACCAAGTCAGTGATCCTGACTACCCGATCCCGTTAGTCGCCTCTTAAAACAAGCATAGTCGCCTTTTACGGCAAGCATTGGTTGCTGAAGACCTTACTCGGATCTTCACGGGTCCACCATTCAGGAGTTACATACAATGCAAGCTATGTCATCATTCAATGAATTATTTCTCACAGACGAAAACATATTTTCTTCCCATTCTGTTCTTCAAGTGTACAGACGCCATCATATTGTATGGAATAGATTGGTTAAACTACTTTGTTTTTAAAATGTGAAACCGAAATATATTATGTAGAATAATGATTGTGAAATAAAAAGAGGACCGCCCGAACAGGGACACGAACCCTGGACCCTCAGATCACTCTGATTGTGACAGACCGCTTAAAAGTCTGATCCTCTACCGACTGAGCTATCCGGGCTCTTGGCTAGCCAGCCAGATGTTTCTGTTCAGGTGACAGACAAGCAAACACAAATGTTTGTTAACATTTCTGCTTCCTCAAAGTCCTTTTGTCGTACACCACTCAGGAGTTACATACAATGCAAGATATTTCATCATTCAATGAATTATTTCTCATACACGAAAATATATTCTCTCCCCATTCTGTTCTTCAGGTTCACAGATGTCGTCATATTGTATGGAATAGATTGGTTAAAATACTTTGTTTTTGAAATGTGAAACCGAAATACATTATGAAGAATAATGATTGTGAAATAAAAAGAGGACCGCCCGAACAGGCACTCGAACCCTGGACCCTCAGATCACTCT